CATTTGTCTGTTAGCATTACAGTACCCTTGTATGGTTAATGTATTTGTGCCTCTGAGATGAAGCCAGTAGTTTGTAGTTCCTTTTAGGTACTGGAAGCAATGTTTTGCTACTTTGTAGTAGCTCATATTTGATTGTTGTAGATAGTACACTAATTGGCCTGTAACATATGCAATGTCTGGCTGAGTGCAATCTGCTACATAGTATAATGATCCTACCATATTCATGTACAGTATTGTTTGCATAAATTGTTCATTGTCAATTGTATCATTCATACTTGTTAAGTATGTCTCAGGCATCATGGGAGTTTGTAGCAGTTTTTTGTTCTTGAGCTTAAAACATTGTATTATGCTCTGAATATAGTGACTTTGCTGTAAGCAGATTGTTCTCCATTGTCTATTTCTTTGGATTTCTATTCCTAGAAGCTAGTGTATTTTGTTTCTGTCCATAAATGTAACATATTGTTTTAATGCTTCTTTGAATGTGTTCACTATAGTGATGTTTTCACCAATAATAGTAATATTATTAATGTGCATGAATGTTATTAATATTGTTTTGTTATGCCTTTTCTTATAGAATACAGTATTGTTATAGTTTGCTTGTTGCAATCCTATTTTGTGTAGTATATCTGTAATTTTCTTATACTATTGTTGTCCTACTTGTTTTAGTCCATATAGTGCTTTATTTAATTTTAGCACTTGACCAGGTTTGATATTGTTTAGTAATTTACCTAGTGGAGGTCTCACATAGATGTGTTTGTCTTTGTTTAATTCTCTGTAAAGATATGCAGATTTTACATCTATTTAATGTATTTCATAGTCTTTAGACACTGCCCAGCTTAATAACAATTGTACTATAGTTAATTTTGTAACTAGAGCAAATAGGTTGTCTGAATAGAAATCTATTCTGTCCTTTTGGGCATAACCCTGTATTACTAGTTGTGCTTTGTATTTGTCTATATTACTGTTAGCTAGTTGTTTTAATTTGTAGACAAATCTTGTTCCAATTATATTTGCATCTGTTGGTGGGTATGCATATTCTCATGTATTGTATAATTGTAATGCTGTTATTTCTTCATTCATAGCTTTGATCCATTGTGCTTTATTGTTATTTGTTATAGTATTGTAATATGTTAATGGATTATTATATACTTCATTAAGTAGTTTATTAAATTCTGTTAGATATATTGCTAGATTTATTTTGTTGTTGTAGTTTAATCCTCTAGCACATTTTGTTACTTGTTGTTCACAAGTTGATCATTGTAACTCATTATTGTTATCATTATTATTTGTTCCATTCGTTCTGTTATTATTGTTATTATTATTATTTGTTCTGTTTGTTCTGTTTGTATTATTATTACTGTTGTTTGTTCTGTTATTTGTTCTGTTAGTTCTGTTTGTTCTGTTATTATTATTGTTATTATTATTATTCTCCCCTTCAATTCTAGATGATTGTACATCTATGAATTGCAGGTTTTGTTTGACTGTTATTTTATTATTGTGCTATGTTATATGGCCTTTACTTTTGTTATCATTACCTAACCATCATGTGTATTTACCTCTAGGCTCTAGTTTATGTGTATTTTTGTTCTGTATAACACAATATACTCTGAATTCTTGTATGTTATCAATAGTGTATTGTTTGTTAAACTGTTTGTAATATAGTATTGCAAAATTTATTACAGTACATAGTGTTTGATTATGAATAAACGTTTGGTATTGTGCAGCATATACCTATAATTTCACAGGTAGTTTAGACATTAATAGACACATTTGTACTCTGTTAAATATTGTTTTGTACATACATTCTGCAACTCTGTTTTGTTGTAGGGTATCATGTACTGTTAATCATTGTATAGTTCCTTGACTTTCTATGTACACTGTAAAGTCATTACTTAGGAAGACAGTATCATTATTACTTTGTAGTGTTTTTACTTTTACACTATATTGTGTAAATAATTTTGTAGTGTATTTGATGTATTCAGTAAATGTATCACTTTTATAATACATGGGTATCATATCTGCCTATTGTGTAGCATCATCAACAATTGTAAGTATGTATTTGTATTTGCTGTATGCTTGTATAGGTGCTAGACCCTATATATTAATATGTAGATGTTCTCTGTATGTTTTAGAAATTGCAGACATTTGTATTTTAGGTATATTATTACATTGTATGTTTGCATGCATACAATCATTGCATTGTATGTTCTTATTGTCTGTTACTTTTTGTTGTATTATTTCAGAATGATTTTGTATGAGTTTGCATAAATACTCAAAGTTAATATGACCCATTCATTTGTGTAAGTCAATTATAGTTATTGTGTTAATGTTCTGTTGGTAATGATGATACAATACTATCATATATAACTTATTGTGTACTTGTATTTCTCCAATCTTTTTATTTGCAGGTGAATAGATAGTACATGTATTATTTGTTTTTACTAATTTGTGTCCTGCTTTACATAGTAATGCTTCACTGATTAATGTGAAGTTTAGATTAGGATGATAGTATACATTATGTAGCATAATACTGCTTACATTTGTTTTGTTTGTTCTGTGTTCATTGTTTGTATCTTGTTATATTCTAATTATCATTGCTCTACTTTGTCTGAGTGTAATTATTGTTTTGTTTACAATTGTAATGTTTATAGGGTTCATATATTGTATGTTTGTTAATTGAAATAGATAGGGTGTAGCATGGATATTAGCACCTGAATCAAGTATGTTAATACAATGTGTAAGTTTTGTTGTTCTATAAGAACATGTATTAATACATATGTTTGGGTTATATTCCCTGAGGAATTTGTCAAGCATGAGTTCCCCTTGTATTTCTTGCATTTGTTTGTTGTTTATAGTGTCTAGTGTTAGCATTTTGTTTACTTTGTCAATAAATGCTACTAGGTCTGTAAGTGTAGCACTCATTGTTTGAGCTGTAATTTGTTGTGATGTAGATACATTTGTCATTGTCATTGTTTGCTTTTTTCGTGCTTCCTTTATAGTGTCTGTTACTGGACTACAGCACTCTTTGGACATATGTCCATATTTGTTACAATTATAACATTTTGTTGTCTTGTAAGGCTTTACATTGCCTCTGCCATGTCCTCATCCTCTTGTTTGACCTTGTGTAGGCCCTAGGGATAGAGGGTGATTATTTATTATTTTATTATTATTATTTAGTGTACTATGTTTATTCTAGTGGTTCTGTGTTTACTACTCAGTAAATACATTGTATAATTTGTAAATTAATTTTGCTAGTGTGAACACCTGATGTTGAGCTGTAGTAACTGTGGGTAGGCTATTGTAATGTGTGTTCTGCCTATTAATCATTGTTACAACCTACTTGTACTCTCTTGGAGTAGTGAGATTTATTACTGAGATGTAAGTATTATCATCTGGTGCTTTACTGTGAGCTACCAGTTGTGTATAGACTTGTTCTATTTGGTCTAGTGTCTTGTCAAACTGTGAAACATGTCCTCTAGCTGTGAACAGTACTGATATATTGACTGTGTGAGTCAACATGGTTTGTGCATTGTATCAATCAGCTAGTGCCTGCATGAGGTCTTTTGTTGTTTTGTGCATTGTAATGTTAGCATACACTGTATCTGATATTGTCTTTGTTATGAAATGATACAATAGTTTCTCTGTGTGTGTACTGTCTGCATCTGTGCTAGGGGGATTGTTTGTAAGATGGTCACTGAGAAGTATTGCTGCTAGTGCATTTGTAATGTATAGTTGCCATATCTTATAGTTCTTTACACCTGTAAGCTTCTCTATGTCTTTAAAGAACGTAGCAAGTTGATTGTCATTAATCTTTGGAGACTCAAACGTTAACATAGATTGTGCCATCGTTAGAGGCATTGTGTTTGTAGGTGGAGCACTAGTACTAGGAGGGGGGGTAGACGTCTGAGGTAGAGGTTGCATTCGTAGTGTCGTTCGTGTCAATGGTGCCATTCACAAGCCAGCAAGGCTCATAACCTGTTAGAATGGGGAGTTTGGAATGGCACTTAGATATATGTGCATATATGTGTGCCCTTATATACTAGATACATCGTGCTATACTAGTAAATGAGATGTAAAACGCAGCGTGTCGAATACGACCACTAACATCAGGGGTTTATCTGACGTGGCGCATGCTACAGCAGCAAAGGTGAGCCCTTATCTCTTCCTTCACATAATATTGCACTATTTGAAGTCTGCTTATTTAAGAGCTCGCATTAGCGACTCGCATACTTGCCTCCACTTCTCTAGCAAGAGAAGTTACAGAACCGCCGGACTGCACATGTCAAGGACTAATGGAAAGCAAGACTCAAGCTCCCATTCCCATCCAAGTTTAGCTCAAAAGCATGAAAAACAGGGAAGCAACAGCCCTAGGAATGGTGATAAGTCCGAAAGCAGCAGTATACTTACTTTAAGCACAGCGTCATCAAACAGCTCCACGTTCAAAGAGCCACCACACCACAAATGTACGTAGTATATCAGATAGGCGATAGTTTTCCAATTCACACCTTGTGCTTAATCCAAAGCCCCGAGCGAATTCATTAGATGTAAGTTTAGCTTACACGAGTCATGTCACAAATAAACTTGTTCTCGTATTGTTTTACTTAGTTTGGAATGAACAAACCAGCAATAACTTCTATGTAAGCTGGCAAAATGAGGGAAAAACCATATTTATGGGTAAGTACACTCCTTCAATAGTCACAAAAAAAAATCGATCTGAAGTTACAACCTGCACTCCCTCGCAGCAAATATAAAGAAAGGGGCGAAATTTGAGCCGGTTTATCGGTCAAATGGGTACGAATTTGATAACAGAGAAGATGAATTGACTGTGATGAGGGAAGTCGATACTGGGCTAGCGGAAGCATGCAGGAAGTATAATGTCACGATCGGAAGCGATCCATTTTTCATTAAGCTTGCGGCTAAGGCAGGCCTTAGCTGGTTACTAGCTAGCTGATCCTAGAAAAAGTGTAATAGCTGTAGTCGTAAAGTTGCCTTTTGTGAATAGTTTCATACTCGAATACAGGTCGTGAACGCATCCTTCGAGTCTATACAGCGTTTGTTTGGTTCACAAGTAAGAAACTCGTGGAACAGGAACGGGAATCCTTTGTCCTAGTAAACCCTGTGTTAAGGACGAATCAAGCGCAAATAGGATGCACTTACGGTCGACGGATGAGAATCTGTACACTGTCGCGAGAATCATGCGGGTCTCTGATCGATCGGAGGTCGTCCGTCTGTGATCAGGTCCGGGAGTGGTACGGAATAATCACCGAAACAGTCGAAGGCGAAATTAACCTCAGCGAGCCGCGTCTGCATCGCTCTTACGAAACTGTCCAGGGGACAAAGCCCGTTCTCATCTTCTGGACAGCCGTTTACGCCAGTGAGGGGAACGACAGCATCGTTAAGCAGCCATCGAATTTGATTTGGAGTCGAGGACGCGGAACAAGACAAAACTTGTCCGACGAGCTGTGAGGCGAATGGCGCGATTTGACTGACAATATATGTCTTTTTCTTGTGATGAGTGCCTTTGTAATAAATTAAGTAGATGACTGTTTGTACCTGGTTTTCTGGTATACGATCAGAAGGCAAGGGCCCATTAGCAGCGAACGACGTGAAATTTAGAGCCACCAGTACTGCACGAGATATTTAGATATCTCAGGATTTAGTATTCAACGAAGACGACCATACTAGATGCGATCGTGTTATCATGGGTCACATCGACGAAAATTGGCTGGTCAAGGGGGAATGTAACGTTACTGTCCGTGATGGTCGCATTAGTTGAGGTGTTATGAATTGAGATCGGTGTCTTCGTCAGTCTTGCAGTAAGTTCTTGGACATAGCCAATGCCAAATGCTGCGGCAGTTGGGTTTCCAGGTCCATTTGCATACCAGAAGCTGAGATCTGTGTATACGTGGTCCAATCAGTAACGAATAAAAGTGCGAGATGGTAAGCTTGCCTAGGAAGTATTCGAATCCTTTCCATTCGTCTTCAGTGAACAGATCGCAGAATTCGGACGTCCCAAGAGCGATAGTCTGACAAGGCGGGGGAAAGGCAGTTTAACAATACATTGTCATAAAGAAGCGGAGGCTCACCTCGTATGCGCACAGCTCTTGCATACCGAGCAAGTCATCTATGGTGACGTTAAATCCTTCGAGTCGTCGAGAGAGACGCGCAAGTGCGTTTCGAAGATAGATATTGGCCCAGGTATTCGTCATAATCGGTACAATGCTGCTGATGTTAGGATTGTTCCTATTCTGACAATTTGGAGCTAGGGTGTTGTTATTCGAACCGCTGGTTTCAATTGTGATCAATTGCCTATAATTCATCTGATAATCCGGAATGCCGAAGAATCCAGCTGCGAAATTCGCCCTATTGTTCGTTGTCAATACACGTCGACATATCGCTTGACAGGAGGACGTACGCCGATTGAAGCATTCTCTCTTGAGAAGTGGTACGGAAGACAGGTAGACTAGTGAAATTCTTGAGAAGCTCGCCATATTTGACTCGAAATGAAACGCCGAGATCGAACCTAAAGCCTAGTGAGTACCGAGAAGCCCAGGCTAGAAAAGAACGTAAATATAATACAGCTGTTGGCGTCCGAAGGGCGTCAAAATCTCAGCCCCAAGCTTTAGTACCGCGCAAGTATAATCGAAACATGTGTCAGAATAAAAGCTCTGAAGAGATTAGGAGGCTCACTTTGTATGGCCATGTATTTAGAAACTTAAGTTTTCCTTTTGCCGTGAACCCGGTACCGGAAATAGTCGAATTATGTAGTTTCGTAGCGAATGCAGCAGGGAGTGAGCCCAGAGTGGGGTATCTGGCTCCTTTATAAGGGCACAATGCTAGTTGAGCTTAAATGACGTATGCATGAAATCTCCACACCGTACCGTGACGGAAAAGTAGATGGACCTGAGTAATGTCGCATCCCGCTGGTATGAGCGCACTACTTTTAGGAAGGCCCAAAGAGTCGATAGAGAACATAGGCGAAAGGTTTGCAAGAGATTGAAGCACATTGAATGAGGATTTGTTGTCGAATGTTGATGGGTTTAATAGTGGCAAGGCATCCGCAACTTTTGGTAGGGAAGTCGCCGTCGTGACTAATTCTGCCTCGTCACCAGCTTTGCAGGTTTTGTATCAGTTATAGTTCATGAGAACGGCGCAGAGAACATACTAGGAGTTGGTCCAGCAAAACCGACTACAGATGCCTCAGGAAAGAAAGAGTCGAATGCGGACGCAGCATTTGTAGCATTTGGAACAGGAAAGACAGCGCTAGTAGTTGCTCCAACAAAGGACGACGCTTGAAGGGCAGTATGTTTAGACAGCCTGGCTGCTGAAATAGTAGTAAACAGCAGGGAAAATAGTAGATTGAATATGAGAGTCATCGTCCGCTAATAAGAAACAACAAGGGAAAATGGTCATTTGTATTCTGAGGTTAAGACCGTGATCAGGTCATAAGATCGCTTAGACGGAAGCGACGCGCCGGATCGGAAGGCCGGGGAATACATTGCCCGAGCGGTGGACGAGAGCATCTACTACGAACACAGTACCTGCACGAGGAAGAGGAATGCTTCGTCCAGATAGAAGCGAGACATGATCAAACGTGTGTCGGGCTAAGAGCCCTTCCGCCTGTACTGCAGTTTCTTTCGGGGTCGGACCACAGGCGAGTTATCTCCGATAGCAAGTAAGAACTAGGAGCGTCGATAGCATGCCAGGTAGTAATGAAGCTCCTCGGCATGCTCTGGTAAACTCTCGACGAGTTGAGTCGAAGGGGACTAGGCAGCAGAGAAAGAAGTCAAGAACACATAGAAATAATCGAAATCGACTTATAGAAGACCTGCATAGCCAAGCATATTTTGATCTTATAATCGTTCATGAGATGCAACAGTGAGGGACTGCATCTGAGTGAGAAAGTGTGACGCGTCAAGTCCGACAGACTCCGACCGGACGGAGCCGAGATTCCTTTTACGCGCCTTGATTGTTTTACCTGCAGCACCTCCCTTGCATCTCCACAATCACTAGCCCAATCTCATTCTAAGTCTAGCATATTCTCGCTGGTAGTGCCTCTTCATGAAGCTTCATCTTGTCTTGATTATATGTACCATCGTGCTCGGTGCCAGATGCGCAGTTGCTCCTCGGCGTAATATGCACCACGGTGGCAGCTCAAGCGTTCATTCACATACAGCAAGTAAACAGTCGCACAAGTATAGCTCTGGCTTCTCGTATGGGTCTCGCTCTGGCGCTGGCTCAATGTCAAGAAACAAGACTTCGGACCTATTGCCTCCACGTGAACTGTCAAATACGGACTTCAACATGAACTCTACGGTTTCTGCCTTTGCTCCAGCTTCCTCGGCACCAACGTTATCTCGACGAACTATCCCAAGATATTATAACTGGAACAAGCGAAACTCTCTTGTGGGACACAGGCATCACTCTTCGAGTCTGAGAGGATCCCATCTACCAACTGGTGTCTATTCTGTCCCGCAACACTACGTTAAAACTGAGAATACTCACGTCAAGGACTCGTCACAAGCAAACATTGCAAAGAGACCTCCAATGAAAGCACGAGCTGTGAATGCGGCTTCTACTCCAGCGCCGACAGGCAGTGCTTCTCCCGATACAACCGTATTTATCAATAATGAGAATGATTTCGCACTGTTGCTTCCGAAGAACCCAGGAGGTAAGTATTGCGAAAGCACGTTCTTTTTCTCTATGTATAATCTGACAAACTTGCAGAGCGCATCTCGGATGCCGAAACGGATGGAGCTGCGTTCTGCACTGCTGGTGGATGCCCGAGGGTGCTAAAGGAAGGGTTCATTACTGCGGCTGCAGTGACGAGGGCTCCTGATAATGTTTCTTGGATTCAAGTGCGTCCGCGACTCCGCATGCAGATACTTTTTTTCGGTATTAACTAGTTGTGAAGGTGACTGGTTGTATTGACCCGTCAAAGATATCTCTTTCACCTGAAGATGACGGTGGCCAATTTGACGTCCGCTTCCCCAATGGAGCACAGTGTACTGTTGGAGGTTACGGAGCCAGTTTTATCGAACAGTGAGTAGCCAGTAAGCATCAAAAACATTGGTCTGACGCAGAATATGGACCATATCTTCCTTTAGGGTCGAGCCTTCTGCAAAGAGGTTTTGTCTTCGCTGTTGTGCGAAGGCAAATGACCAGACGAACTGTAATTCGCATCAGGACCGTTCTGGTTGCGTCGTAGCTATTCCAGGTATATACGATTTTCCAGAAAAAGGCATCTTTTGCGCTTGATAACGGTCTCAAATTTGTCGATTATCCATCCTTTATTTGCATATGTACATACTTTATTTTTAACCTTTTTCATTTTCGATTTTTTTGTCCAACTCTACAGTTCTGTATACACCCGACACATGTCTATGGCTTCCTATACTTTCCCGTCTTTTGTACATGCTATGTTTCATTGTTTGCAAAGACATGATTATGTTTCTCTTTTTACAAATAACACCAGTTAGCGTGAAGGCTCGGCTATAGCCGGCTCATCAGGACGCGTAGTGATAAACGCGTTTGTTACCCACGACAACAACCATCAGCACATAAGTAAGCAGGGGAGTCGTTCTCTTGCCCATTTTTCGTCGAGTACCAGTCGGTAGAGTAGATGGACGCGTCTTATGTACTTGTAGACGATCGCTCGAGTAGCACCCCGTCGCGTTTGACGGTATGCCGATCGTTTATCCAATTGTTTCTTACGCGTTAAGTTCTAATGCGAATTTATCCAGAGCGCATCACACTCCCCTACGGAAGTTCAAGAACCTTCTTATGCTCATGACTGGCGCAAGAGCACGACTGGCGGGTTGCGGATAAGCGGAAGACATTTTGTTGACAAATATGGGCGAGTGTGTGGGCTTCGTGGTGTTAACTTGTCTGGAGCGTGTAAAACGTCAGTATATCTCATTATACACACTTTCGTGATATTGATACGAGTATGTGATGATATTGTTGTCATGTCCAGGCCTACAAATGATGACAATGCAATATTTCCGGACAGGCATGAACATGTCACGTTTGTCGGTCGACCGTTCTCTCTTGAGGAAGCTCCAGAACACTTCGCAAGATTAAGAAGATGGGGGTTGACTTTCAGTAAGTCTACCCATTGGTCTTCAAGATTGAAAAATAATTTAAATGTGGGAATAGTCAGATTTATCGTAACCTGGGAAGCCATAGAACACACAGCACCGTGCGTCCCTCAGTTCACAATTCGTTCAACTTCTTAACTGATCTATTCGACTTTAGAGGAGTGTACGACTGTGAATACCTCGAGTATCTTAAGGCGCTTCTTTCACTTCTTCCTCAGTTTGGACTCGTCGCCTTCGTCGAGATGCACCAAGACGTCTGGTCACGATACACTGGTGGGTCGGGAGCTCCCGCATGGACAGTCGCAGCAGTTGGGTTTGACATCCATAAGATTGAAGACGCAGGTGCTGCATGGCTAAAGGGCGTACGAGGTGGTGGGCATACGGAGGACGAACGTGGACTTTGGCCGTGCGGATATCAGAAGCTCGCTGCTGCTACGGTAGCGACTTGCTTCTGGGCTGGAGATGTTTTTGCACCTAAGTTGATGGTGGAAGGTGTGCCTGTGCAGAAATATTTGCAGGAGAGGTACTTGAAGGCATGGGAGCTACTGGCGAGTGCTGTCGGCGGACTGGAGGGTGTGATTGGCTTTGAGGTCAGCCACCCAATAATTTCTGCATTTTCCATCACAAGCTAATTACTTTTTTCTGTTTTAGATGATGAATGAACCTCATAGAGGATACATTAACGTACCTTCAATGCATTCTTTTGATTACAACACTGACTTGCACTTGGCACACGTCCGTAAGTCTCTTCCTGCACTACACTTCCTACAGAATCTCATATTCTTGCAGCGTCCCCTCTACAATCCTTTGCTCTCGGTGCAGGGCATCCACAGAATGTCCCTCATTACACCCGTTCCTTTCCCATGCCGACCAAACTTACAAGCTTTGAACTACTAAATACCGAAGAGATCAATGTCTGGCGGACCGATGGCCCGACGGGTGGCAAGTGTTTATGGGAGATACATGGCGTTTGGGGTTGGGATAAGCACAAGAAAGAAGCCGTTGCCCTGAGGGAGAGCTACTTTGAGAAGCACCCTATGACCGACAAAATGGTAAGTGAAAGTCATGAGCTTTGCCTCTGAAGTCGCTGAAATGCATTTACCTCTTGATATACGTATTCTGCTATTTAGGTTGACTGGTACACTGATTTTTACTATCCAGTGCTTCTCAAGTGGGCAGAAAGGGTACGCGCTGTATCGTCAGCAGATAAAATGATCTTCACCGAGCCTATCCCTAACGAGGTAGACTTATTGGTTCTATGCGTAAATACTATACTCACATTCACTACTCTAGTTCTGTCCGTCTTCCTGGAGCGCTAAGTGGCGACCATCGAACATGGTGTTTGCACCTCACTGGTAGGCACTAATAAATCGATGTTATAGAGGTCCTTTCCTTACTAGTATCGGATAGGTATGATTTGAATGCGCTGTTCAGGAAAGCATTTGGAGAATTTTCTGTTAATGTACAGGGACTCTCGCGAGTACGTCTAATTCGATCCTCTTTACGCTTTGTCCTGCGGATTGATTGATAGGATCTTGGCAGGGAATGTTCCCTCTGAAAGCGTTCTACTGGGGTCAAGCTGGTGCACGCGAGAACTTTTCTTTGCAGATAAGGAATATAGCCGAAGCGAGCTATAAGGCCCTTGGAGAGGTTCCTGTCATTATCGGAGAGTGCGGTGTTCCAATGGACATGAAGTGAGTTCAACGTTTTCAAAATAGTGTAACGGTAACTTAGACAGTCGAAGCCACGGAGAGGCGTTCAGGACGAATGATTTCGTATGGCAAGCAAAGACGATGGATGCAATGATTACTGCTTTAGAGCGAAGTCTTATTGGCTACACGTATGTACTTTTCAAGAAATATTTCTATGAGACTTTGCTTACAATACACAATAGGCTCTGGAACTACAACCCAGATAATGACGATAAGCATGGTGACTACTGGAATGGCGAGAACTTTTCATGGTTCAGCCGGAGCCGAGCTCAACAGAAACCAGGCCTCGAGCAGAGTTCCTCCAGTCTAGATGAAGGCGGACGGCTCTTACGAGCAGTTGTGCGACCTTATCCGGCCAAGACAGCTGGTATACCGATCAAGTTCGATTATGAGATGAATACTGGACGTTTTGAGTTTGAATGGATCATACCTTCCTCTACTTCTTCGTCGTCTTCAACTTCAATATATCCTCCGACGAACGTGGCAAGTCATAGACTCACATCTAATGAGACCGAGATATTCCTTCCCTCTATGCTAGCACGCGGACGGAAAGTGATCGTCCGAGGGCTGGAGGCGAGCGGCGAGTACCATTATGATGAAGCACATCAAACACTTGTCATTCGCGCGCGGAGTGACTCTCCAGGAACTATACACTGTATCGTTGTAGAACTCGACCCGCCGTTGAAGAACGAGTTTGTCGTTAATTCGTTCTGGAGTGACTTCAGTGGGTGGATCTCAGCGGGTATTGCTGCATGGATTGCGGTTTTGGCGTACTTCTATCTTTCTTGATTTTCAATAGATATATACATATCGCTAGAAGCTTGAGAGATTTCTCTCTTTTCTCTCAATTTCCTGTATATAGATGCTGCCTCAAGCATAGTCAACCAACATGGACTGAAGGTCTACGTTGCCATATTAGGCAACCAGTAGTGGCGTTGTGGATACGCGCCTTCATTATTAATAGTGGCCGTCTTCACATCCTCCCTTCATCTTCATCCTTAATTTAAGTCAGAATGACGAGCATGGATGTTGACATACCAGACATCGCCATCGAAGATGCTATCATTCAACAAGCTCAGGCTGAATCATCACATAGAGCAGAGGGCAAGAAACCGATGGTCGTCCGAGTAGATGAGGCGCACCCGTTTGACCTGGGGGCGTACAACGCGAGCTACAACAGTAAGTCTAACCTTAGTTGAATAATTCATAACTTCTCTGATATCACTGTGAGCAGATAGAACCGCAATATATCGACTTCTGTATATACTTGAGCTCTGTCCCTCTCTCGCCAAGGAGGCGTTCCAACTTGCCGTGCAGCGCATTAAAGCAGGGCGTGACCCTCAGTTGTATCAGAATGCTCTCAACCTCTACAATACATCTCTTCCAGAAGGATCAGAGGGGGAAGAAGTGGATGCAGCTTGGTTGGAGAAGGTGGTGGCGAGCAATACGAGTGAGAGGAATAAGTTGGAGGTGGAGTTGAAGACGTACACCAGTAATATGATTAAGGAGAGTATTCGAGTGAGTTCTTATATCATACATTCTTTAAAGTAAGGAGGCTCCCAGGGATACAATCTGATGGGCAATTCGATAGATGGCACATAGGGATCTGGGGAACTTTTATAGAGCGACTGGTGATGACGGTGCTGCACTCAAGCATTACACGAAGTCTCGTGAGTATTGTACCGCGAGCCAACATGTTCTGGATATGTGTCTGTCCGTTCTGGAGGTTTGTATTCCAGAACCTTATGTTACACCTGTTTGCATTAACTTGTTTTCTATAGCTCCTTGTCGAGCAACGCAACTATGCACACATTCCAACATACGTCTACAAGGCCGACGCCGCACTGGACGTTGCTACCACAGGGGCTTCCAATTCAGGAACTTCTCAGCCCTCTGGACCGACACAATTGCACCGAAAACCGGGTGGCACGACTCAGTCTGCGGAACGCGAGAAGATACAAACGAAGCTTGACGTCGCCACCGCTGTATCGTATCTAGGTCAAGGGAACTATGAACGTGCCGCTGTGACATTCCTAAAGCTAGGACCTCCAAAGTCTTTGGAGGACTGGAATGGGAAGGTTGTTTGGGTTACTCAGTGTGTGCATTATGGACGGTCGAAGACTGACATAATTTCCACATTAGATCATCACTCCCTCAGATATTGCTATCTATGGCACTCTGTGTGCTCTTGCTACGATGTCGCGTGGTGCCATCACAGCGCAACTCCTCGATAGCGAAACTTTTGCGAACTATTTGGAGTATGAGCCATACGTGCGCGAACTCGTAAATGCGTATATGGGAAGCAAGTTCAGGAACGTGCTTGAACTTCTCGAGAGGTATTCTGTGCGTCATTCAGAGTTACATGCGTTTCAGCATTTCATAAGTCTTTGATTATTGTCTGTCCTGACAGGCTCGCCATTACCTTGACATCCACCTCAGTATACACATTCACGACCTAACGAACCTCATCCGAGACCGCGCTCTCGTACTCTACTTCCAACCCTTCGCATCCGTCAAACTACAAAAGATGTCAGTAGCGTTCGGTATCCCCGTAGACGAGCTCGAGAAGCTCGTTGTGGGACTCATTCAGAGCGGGAACATTAAGGGACGTGTGGATAGTCGCAATAAGGTGTGTTGTGGCTGATGCAATGGTTGATCTAACTGGCTTTTTGTGTTTTTGTTTCCATTAGATTTTAAAAGCAAGTGTGATTGACCAACGTGCGGAACTCTTCGCTCGTGCTGCGCGAGCTGGTGCGGAGATTCAAGCTATGAATAGGAAATTGTTACTTCGTATGAGATTGTACGTGGTTTCATCTTCCTCACATCCTTTCTCCTGCCTGCCCGCGATTATATTTGGTATGTCGAACTAATCGCTCGATTCCGTCTAACTTCCAGACAACAAGCAGACTTGATTGTTAAACCACCGAGAGCCCCGAAGCAGGCACAAGGATCGTCGACATTAAGCGCCGGGCCATCCTTCAATTTGGAGAGTGGGGAGAGTATTGAGGTGCAGTAAAAGTCGATCTCATGAACATGAGCATGCTGGCTAGAAACTTGTACTCCATGTAGTAAAAAATGTAAATGTATAAACACCAAGCTTGCCGCTAAACAGTACCTTGGCACCAGGTTGTCTTGTCGGTTGGCGTCAAAAAACGTGCCGAAAAGAATTCACCTCCTGTCTTCCTTCATTCGATATAAACTCAACAAGCGCAGTCGATCAAGAAAATGTAAGGCTAATACGTCGAGATATGCTATGAATAATTTACAGTTGGTACTACCGTAACAAAAATCTAGATCCACTATCAAAGTCAATAGTAGTGTGGTATGCAAACAACAATTGTCCGTACGAACCGAACCCAGTATGCCTACCAAACTCGCAACAGAACATTTTCGAAAAACAAACAAACATCAAAGTCCCTACGAAAACGAATACCATCCTTTAATGCATCTTGAAGCTCCTGTTGTGGCGCACCCTCACGGCATCAGGCTTTATTGAGGCGTTTGGCATACTCTCCCAAACCGGATCCACATCTGGTCCGTCCAAGTCACCAGCACCATCCCAACCCCAACACCAAACATACTCCGGTCCAGGCACAAACGTCAGCTCGTCCGACTCTTCTTCTACAAATAACCTATCATGCGGTCCGAACCAACTTCGATCTTGTGGGTCTGAGCGTGGGTTATCTGGTAAACCACCGAGACGAGTGTATCCTCGTATTGCTGAGAGGTTCCGACGTGGAGGGTGGACGATCTCGAAGACTTTATTGTCGTATGCGAGTTTCACACGTGGGACCATGACGATTCGGCCGTATCCTGCTGCCCAATAGTCGTTGCAAAGTAAGGAGCATTCGGAGGCACTGCATTCGCCTTGATGGATGCGAGCCATGCGGAATCGGACGTGTGGAGCGGCGTAGAGTGGTTCGGGGTCGAGAACGGCGATTCCGTTCCAGCAGGATTGGACTTGGATGGGTAGGTGCCGTTGGAATCTTTCGGATGAGGAAGGGTGGTGGAAGACGTCTTCGAATGGTGTGTTTTCGAGTGCAGTACCGTTAATGTCTCGGGCGACCCAGTTATCGTAGAATACGGGTTGTCGCTAAATATTAAAGTTAGAGAGTTATCACAATAATGAACACATAGGTATATTGGCTCACAATCTCATCATGATACATATAGTCAGCAGCACAAGTTACTCCAGCATTCTGTCTCCGACTCTGCCAGATCAACTCGAGCAGGTCGTCCACGCAAGGTAAAATATCATTCATGAAAATAACGGTATCGAAGTACTCGCTCTCAGAATCTCGAAGTTCATACAACGGAGCCATCGCGGCGTTGCGTACTTCTGCGAGGTATTCGATACGATGTGCATGAATACCCCTTTTCCTGTTACTTGACTTGATAATAACGCGCATGCCGACGCTATGCATCAGAGCGTCGAAAATTCGGAGGAGCGCTTGAGTCTGATCGTTTGACCCGTTTTCGTATATCGAAATGAAGATATTCTGGTATCCCACGATAGAACCGACTCGGAACATAGTCGCGAATAAATCCGGTATGATATCAAACGAGTTGTATAGGTTGATGGCGAAGAAGTACTTGTGATTCTGCGGGACAAGGTCCCGAGGAACGTGTTGATACGCATCAACATCAACTGCACCGTCAAAAGGATTGAGGCCGAGTGCTCCTAGCCATGAGTTCCTCGAAGGCATTTGGTGACCGATGAGCGGTGCGTATCGTTCCATAGCTTGTTCAATGTAAAGCGGTTGTGCACCGCGCGTGCATTCGCGAGTATAATGCGGAGTAAGGGTCGTAAGGAGATCCAAGACACGTTTTCGCTGTTTTAATGTCGGGATTGCTATTGGTTGACGCGAGAACGACCCAAAGCTAGAGTGTAGCGTCGAAGCGTGTCCACCTCGCCATACTTCTTTTTCTTGCGATACATTGGAGGACAACCGAGCATAGAGGAGCCCCAAGCAGACGCCAATTACCAGCATCAATGGCCCTGGTATTCGCAGGCGCGCGAACATTGGGGGCGCGCTTCGACCTTTGAGCGACATGGCGGGGTCGGCGGTGAACACGAGAGAGCGTGAGCAAAACCGGCAATCGAGCGGCGGAGGAGGAAGTGCAAATGATCGACGGCACGTGAAACTGCTTGGTCACAAGTATGACATAATGTATTTGTCTATTTAGGGTAACAGCACGTGAGAAGTAAAACTGTACAGCAGTAGCACGCCAAGTTCTCCGTTCTACTTTTGTTGGTAACGGGAACGTCGGTGAACAGTATCCTCAAGACAAAGGTGAGTCCGTCATTATGTATGTCTTTTGTACAGGTGTTCACGATATGTGCTAGGGCTATTCTATCCAGTATCTACCATGGCCCAACGTGTAACAATCCGCAAGCGCACGCCCTACAACACCACTTCCAACCGCCGACGCATCGTCAAAACTCCCGGTGGAAAGCTCGTCTACCACCATCTCAAGAAGCCCGGTACCGCTCCCAAGTGTGGCGACTGTGGAATTGCGTTGCCTGGTGTATGTCCTACTCAGCCTCTCCGTATGCTTATTTTACTGATAAAACGTTCTTACGGGTGGAATGGTGTCGTTATGGATAGATCCCTGCCCTCCGTCCACGTAAATATGCAACTGTGTCGAAGCGTGTGAAGACCGTTCGTCGTGCTTATGGCGGTTCGCGATGCGGTGACTGTGTCAAGTCTCGGTATGTCGTTATCCTCTCCTCTCTCGTGTCTCTGTTTCCCAATCTCTGGTTGATTTCGTAATGCATTTGTAGTATCATGCGTGCGTTCCTTGTAGAAGAAGCAAAGATCGTAAAGAAGGTCATCAAGCAACAACAGAAACCTGCCGGTCGCAAGTAAACGTAGTCGTTTTGTATGACCCTCATTGTCCATGTCTTTCCGCTTTCCTATACACATCTCTTCCACTGCATGTTTGCTGTTATGTAGGTAGACTTGCAACTACAAAATCTATGGGACCGATGAGGTCGCTATGCAATTCTGTATGTACCAAAATAATGAGATTAAGGCAATCGGAACTCCTGCAGTCAATAGGTTTTTCGCTGGTTCACTCGTGCAAACAATTTCTTCCATATATATTGAGTCAGAGTATTGGTGAGTTGTGTCTACAACGACGATTCCAAGCTTGCCAGGCGTAACAAAGAATTGCATGTCAAAATCCTTATTGCAACTATGCGCATGTTCCAGGAGCACTATTCATTGAAGGCATTGTTTTCTCTAATTCGGGTGGCGCTGAGAACTAGTATTGGTACCTTAGGGGTCATACTGGTCATACTGGTCATACTGGTCACAAAACAGTTGAACCTTTTCATGGTATTAATGGCACAATGTGAAAGATAAGCTCCAGATAAGCTCAACGCTGACATGTTTGTGTTGCTAACTTGAGTCGAGAAGTGGATTCCAGACTTTTCAGATCCTGAACAGTCCGGTTATCTTCACATAAGGCCATTAGGGCCAGTCCACGAGCAACGAAGAATATTTTGACTATGATGCATTGAAGCAATGGCACCGCATAAACCATACATGTTTCGGGGAGGGCATATAAGAGATAATGGATTTGAGAAAAACGCGTAGCCTGGCTAGATTAATCACGCCGTGCGAGTTTCCCAACATCCGAGTATGGCAACGACATGGGTAGGAAGAAATGAGAATGACAGAAGGAGCCATGGAGGTATGTAAAAGAAAGCTTTTACTTTTTACTCGGCATCTACGACTGTGGTTTCGAGCCCCTGAATGTATATTATAAGTACAGTAATGAATCGATGACGGCGTGGCACGCACCTTGAAAGAGATAACTGGTACATATGATGCGTAGGTATAGAGCTTTTCCTTCGCGTCCTCGTCATCATTGCGTTTACCTGTACAAAGAAGTGCATGTTATACCACAATCCAAATCCCGAATCGACAACTCCTCCATCTAGTTTTCCGATTGAAAGGTAGAGAAGGGGATATATCAACACTCACGTTCAAGTCGTACCCGAATCCTGTGTGGGACGTTCTTAATTCCCTGAGACCACAGCTGCTGGTTCAACTTCGGGTCAACCCGTACATCGCGTGTCCCCATCGCCTTTTGCGCAAACTGGACGACGCTCTTCACAGCCCACGGTGCACGTTTCTTGAACGAGCGACCGTGAACGCATTTGTGCAGGTGGATCGTATATTCGCGTGTGACGACATCTTGGAGGGCGGAGCGTTTGCCCTTGCCGCTGGTCTGATAAGAATTGGACGGAGCATCTCATTCAGTCGTTTTGCCTGTTTGCTAATAAGCGATAGAATCACCTTTTTGGTTGCTGGAGCCTAAGGCGCGACGTGAGCTATTGAAAGGCATGCTGAAGGACATTAAACGTACCATCTGTGTAGTCTTCACGTCGTCGGTCGTCGGTCGTGTACAGTGTGTCCAAATTCCACGGGTAGCGTTGAGACTGTGAGAACTGGAACTGTATAGCATAATCACATGATGTAGTTACCTAAACAATCTTACTTACTTAATACTTAGTAGAAAGCAAACTGATTAACGCGGCCACGTGCCGGAAGGACTTGAACCCCGAAATATCCGGATCTGCCGGATCAGACAGAACGGGGAAAGATTTTCAACCTTGTTTTCTTTTCAATTGACCATTACGAAAGGGGCACTTGAGCGAAATATTCTTGAGAAGCCCGCAAGTACCTTTGTCGATAAGCCAAGGAACGTCTGGTCAGATTCGCGGAAAGAGAGATGGTTAAATGTGTGGAAACGGTATAACTGTAAGGAACGGGATCGGTGGGAGGTTTACTGTCCAAATGTGGTGTTACCTTTAGAAGACACCAATCACATATGCATCTCTTTGTATTCTGGCTCGGGCAGAAGTGCGGAAGCATATTGTATTTTGACCCTGGGGATTGCCTTGTTCTGAGTCTCACTACCGTACATAGCATCGCCTTTCATCGCCTTTCATCGCACACTGGTTCCTTACATGCGCGTGTCGTGTATCAGAGTTACAGTATATGACAACAGTTGAGCAGAACAGGGGCAAGGTAAGGTAGTCGTTATTCTGCCTCAATTCGCTGATGTGATGCTCTTGAACATTTTAATGCATCAGATGCCTAGACACGCACGGTGCTTCGAGTAATTTGCTTCTGATGCTTCGTCTTCGTTTCGGGTGATGGTTGATTGAAATGAGATGCCAAAGTATGGAATCCAGGGACCTACTGGTGTTGAATGACTGATGACCACTGCCGTACACGATCATACAAATCTATATCGGTTCTAATGCGAAAGGGGAAACTCTAAAGCGAAGAGTATAAAACTTACGCACCTGTTGCGACGGACGGGAGCACCCCGTTCCCTCTGCGCTGACCGTCCCTTCGGTTTCCTCGGGTCCTCTTACCTCGTTTTCACTCTTTGTTCCCCTGTCGTTGCCTGCGCTGTCATTGCCGTCCAGCACTCCAACCAACTCTTCTTCCTACCTACACGAACACGACGCTCAAAATGCGCTTCACCATCACTCTACTCTTCGCCGGCGTGGCCTCCGCCTTCCTCGTCTCGCGACAAAACGTACCGCGTACGTTTCTCATCTCGTTCCATAATGCATCTTTAATTGATAAACCTCCGACCCAACGCAGAGTGCGCTTTGACGTGCATTGGCAATGCCGACCTCGGAGGCTGCTCAGCGACGGACAACCAATGCCTGTGCACGAACCAGCAGTTCATACAGAGCACAACTACATGCATTGAGAGCACCTGCTCGGGTAGTGACCTTGCCGCTGCAGAGGCCTTTGCGCAACAGTCGTGCGCCTCGGTCGGTGTTACGCTCACCGCGCCTGGAAGTGCCTCCGCTACGCAGACCAGCGCTAACCCCTCTGGCTCTGGCAGCAATAGCGCGACCTCCACTGGTAGCAACAGCGCGTCTACTCCGTGAGTGTGCCTTATACAGTTTCGGAGACGCGATATCTGACAGTGACATGATCCGCGTTTTCCCCTGATCGATTCTTTCTCACGCCATAGTTCGTCGAGCTCAGCGGCAAAAGCGACTGGCATCCCGGTGGTTGCCGCAGCTGCACTTGGTCTCGCCGCCTTCGCACTCTAAACTCCACCGTACGATACCGGAATTCGGAGAAACACCCTACAGGACTGAAAATGCTTCGCACAGGGACAAGCCTAGAGAAATCGCCGAGTCCGACATCGAAGTGTGGAATCCATATGGCTCAGATCGTCCCTCTTCCCCAATCCTCTCTTTATTCTCTTCTTATTATCCTTTCGTGCTTTAATTATTGCTTTTCCTCTTCTTTTGTTTACTGAAGATCTTGCTAAGATTATTCTTCTGTTGTTGTTTTGTATTTGTCAACCATGAACTTTCTGCTCACCTGCGCGTTGGATGCTGGGGTTCTATTCGAATGTGATGGAATTCGCTTTCTAGAATCCTATCTCAGTTCACACTGCGAGGAATAGTCTCATTCCGGTATGCTGTACACGCGACCAGCTGAGAGATGCGCCATGGACGCTTCCATGCCTTACGAAGGCCAAGCATGGGAGTTTACAAGATAGAAGCTCAAGTACCAAGCTCAAGTACCAAGATAACTGCGGCTAAGGAGAGTTTTAGTTCACCGGAGGTTCAATCTTTCATCATTTCAATTTTAGATGAGACGAGAAGCGTTGGCCGTTGAACACCTAGACTGAACTCTGACCTCGTTATCGGGGGACACGGTGATTCTTCCTTCCACCGCCTCGGATGCAGAAAGGCTGTATCTCACCAAGATGATTGCAACCTGACAGAATAACTGACAAGAATAACCAGATCAATCGACCCACTTTGTAAACACCCGCGGAGCTCGAGGACTGTATGAAACTCAATTGAATGATCGGCGCCCAAAAGTTCCGCAACAAATAAATTGCGAATGCTTCACTACTGAATGGCGACTGAACATCGATCACTGGATGCTAATCGAACAGCAGTGAGCGGGTATCACGAGTTGGGATCATCGAAGACTTGTTGCTCGATCGGGGATCAGTGTTCGGAAGGTGTAGAGCGCTAACTCAGCAATAGGCGGTGAGTGGATCACGCAAACTTGGACAGATCATCAGCGTATGTACAACGCATCAATAAGCCGGCAGATTAAACATACGACCCCCAACTACACCATGGAACTCCGACCGAATAGATTTGAGCGGATACTTCGGCGGAGAGCAGGAGATCCAATAACAAGATATTCCTGGAGAGGTCTGCATGTAAGCAACGCCAAGTCGGTCCGCAGGGAAACCAAGCCAAAGCACATACAGACATGAAATCAGTGCCGAGAGCACTCATTCTGCAGGGAGCGAAAAGTCGATAGCCTCTTTGCACGCTTGGTCTACAATTTCCAAGCATTCTAGAGCCAAATTTGGGGGGCATGCATCTCTGACGCAAGAAGTGAAAGTATCCAATGCTCCGTTGTAATCGCATATACACAAGTCAAGACTTGGACCGCAGTCGAGTCCCGCGACGGAATCTATGTAACAATCCGTCCCGCATGCCGGGACTGTTGTAGAGTTAGAGACTAAGTGTGTACGAATGAAATGAAGGTAATTAGTAGACTAACAAGGGAGCTGCGGCAGCTGCCTATCGGAGAGTGAGGCAGAAGCAGAAGAAACGGCGATGCCAGCGAAGATGAGTGCAATATCAAGACGCATTTTGCTTGTGTTTGTGTTTGCTGAGCTGAGGGACTGGGGGGACAAGAGTCACGCCTTTTATACCAGTAAACACCTGCAAGTTGGGATAATCATGGATAGCTAGTTTAACGTATGCGTATGTACAAATTTTGTGGTTCAGTCATACTACTTCTGCTAATCACGACAGGTTGAACCAGAGATCAGTGCTTCGACTGTAAACCTTTGTGTCAGACAGTAAGTTGTCTATCCGAGAACCTTTCACGTATGTGAAGTGTCATTACAACCGGCTGAACAAAAATTTAGGACAAGTCGCAAGGATGTTTTTAACCATACCGTCTCCATCCTGAGCCAAATCCGGTCGGTAAATGGTTCATTTCCTAAGTGGCCGATTTTGAATGTGTAGATCTACTGTAGATGTTCTGTTGTGTTAGGTGACTCAGGTCGAGTATGCCACGTGCTCGTATGACCTTCTCCGTCTTCTCCGTCAATTTTGGGTCTGGACTCTGGACAGCCGTCTTCCTTTAACTAATTCTTGAGGATCCTCTGCAACACTTTCTGCCTAGACAAGGTGATTTCGAACGCGAGCAACGTTGAAAAGGTGCTGATGGCTTGCATAGATACCGAGTTATAGACGTCTACGTTCACGTTGTGGACTACGTGGCCAGAATCCTTCTGAGGCCAGAAGTTGAGTTCTATATGCTGTTAAGTCAACGGATCTCAAACCTGTCCTTATTTTCTGATGAGTGGCCACAGTCTTAACCTACCAGTGCTGGCAACATCATAAAGTGATATAGGAATGCTGTTCTGAACAGTATTGACACTGTTCTTCCTCGGATCACCTCTTCATTAGACGACTCGAACTGTGTTGGTTAGTGAATTACTTTTTGATCTTCTTTTTCAAGATGCTTGTTGAACTATCTGGTCTCAAAAAAACCTCAGAGTGTTCTTATTGCTGGGTGGCACAGACAATTCTACAAGTGGTAGAAGGATGTGCTGGGTAAAGTCAATGTAATTAGAGTGAAATGAATCAAAACAAAGTCTGAGGGAGGGTTGTAGCCTTGCTGACATCCACCCTTTGTGTACATAAATGTCCAGGAACTTTGCAGATCATATTCAGCCTGACTAGTTAACAACTAGGCTTGTAACCTGTAATTAGTCTTTATCAAGTACAGTAGACAATCTTATAATGAATACAATTGTTTCACTGAATTTCTATTCCTTTATAGATTCATTCCATAAGAGATTGAAAATAGTTGGCAATAATGAGATTTGTTACAGTTAATTTCTATTCCTTAATACATTTATTCCTTATTACTGTATTCCTTATGAGATTTTCTATTATAGTTACAAGATGCTATTGTACTACTAATAGCACTTGTAATTAATCTAGAAGACTGACTTGGAGGCTCAGGCTGTGCAAGCAGTGACTGGAAGGATCAAATAGATCACTCAATTAGGGAGATGGTCTAGATCAAAGCAGAAAGGTATTGCCAAAATGAGCAATGCTGCATATACCCACTCTATGCTCAATAGTTCTGTCTTGATTTTATGTCTCACATCTCACTGTGGTTCTGGTACTGCTAGTGCACATATTGCTCAAGATGCACAACTGTATTTACTACCTCTCATGAGCTTGACCTTTGCTATTCTCTGAATCTGGGTTAATAACAGGCAATAGGGGTGGTCAGACCTGTGGATTCAGGATGTGATTCTATTATGAGATGATTAGTTCATCAACAGACAAACCATGAGACAATGACTTCATAATGTCTTAGTTAGAATACATACAATATAAGGACAAGAGACACTGAGCAGTCAATTGTCACCTCACCCCTTGTCTATGTGTGCCCCCCTTAAGTTTTCCCTCTTAACAGGTTATGAGCCTTGTGCTCCCTGTATACACACATCCACTGTACACTCTTAACTCTTTACTTGCATACATTTGCACACATTTGCATCATGGTTCCCCTACATACAGATACACACTGTAAACCAGCTGATGTACCTAAATACTTTGGTCAAAACATTACAATGCTTAAGACCAAAGCAAACTACAAGATGTGGCACTACTGTATTGTTTCTAGTGTTGCAGCTACATACTTCAAACACTTACTAAAGGATGAACTGTAGAACAAAGCTGAGAGGGAGATGGCTAAGACCATTCATACATGCATAGTTAATAACATTACTAACACAATATTGGCAAACTATATACACTTTGATATGTCTATCCCTCAGTTAATGAAAGTGCTTGAAGAATGCTTTAACCCTCAGACAGCACATAAAAAGGCTATCAACAAATTGGCACTGTTTATTTGTAGAGACTATGTAAAACATTTTAGACATACATTAGATAGACTTGAGGAAGCATACACAACTCTGTCTACTAACAGTGATCCACCACACAACTCTACATACAAAGCAGCAATATTGCTTGCCACTCCTGAGCAATATACACACATAGTAAATACAATAATACAATCTACTAATGCCCAAAACAAAGGCAAACCAGTCAATGAACATAAGAAAGTTGAACTGAAACAACTAATCCTTGTATTACAGAATGCCTATAACAATTACTGTGTTAAACAAGTACAAGATTCTAATGATCAGACAAAGAATAATGTACACACTAATACAATGTATAAAGCTAATAAGTAGAGGAAATTCAATCTGCCAAATCTGTTCAATCTGACAAAAGCAAAATGTTTCAATTGTAGAAAAACAGGACATTTCTCTAAGGAATACTGTAAACCTCCTACTAAAGCTACAAAGCTTGCACACACTAAACATTAGGCTAACATTGTGTATAAAACAAAACAAACTGTGGAAAACACAACAAACACATTTATTATTGAAAACCCAAACAAAAACAATGTTGAATTAAAGGAAGGCAATGTTGAAATGAACAATAACACCTACACTCTTATTCCAAGCAACTAGGACAAACAATTCGAACAATACACTTCCTGGGTATGTACCAATGTATTTACAAATACAATCATAGCTAACAAGAAATCCTATACACAAACAATGGATTTACTCAATTCTGGTACATTAATACATGCTACTCCTTATCTATTTTGATTAACAGATGTACACAACATAACTCCTACAATTGTAACTATTGCAAATAGATCAACAATGACTCTTAATTGAGCTGGATCTATGTGTATCGAAATCCCAAAGAATATACAAGAAAAAAGTATCATAACATTACAAAACGTCTATTACTATCCACAAATGAACTTTTCCCTCATAAGTCAAGCACTACTATGTAGGGAAGGTTATTCTTTTATGTTTACAAACAATAATTGTACTATAACATTACTATGTAACAAATACATTGGACATATACAATTGAGAAATAACTTGTATATTTTGTACAATAATCATTTATTAAAAACAATGAACAACTATCTATTTATGATATACATAAATGCCTCAGACATATAAGTTACAATTATATTAAACAATTATTAAAGACACAACCAAGTGTACTATCAACTAAAATAATGAACTACAAAGAAAAAGAATGTATTGAATGTATAAAAGCAAATATTGAACATACACTAATACTAAAACTACATCAATCTCCTCTTGCAAATCAATTTGGAGATCTTATTCATATTGATATCATTGGTCCTATTGAACCACACACATATAAGAACATACACTACTTATTAACAATTGTAGACAATTCTACTTGTTGGTGCATAATGCTCAAACTATAAACAAAATCCAATGCATATATATAATACATACAATGGACAACCAAAATATTTACACAGTACAGAGTTAAAATAAAGCTTTTACAAAGTGATAACAATACTGTATTCCTTAGTAAAGATTTCCAACAATATTTAGATTCACAAGGAACAAAACAAAGACTAACAGTACATCATACTCTGTAACAGAACAGAACAGCAGAACAAACTCATAAAACTATATTTAGAGGTGTAAGAGCATATCTAACATCTACTGAATTACTGTTTATATTATAGGCTGAAGCAGCAATTCATATTACCTATATTTATAATAGAACACTGTGTGCTACTTTAAATTATAATACCCCACATTACAAACATTACAGAACACACAGAACAATTGATAATATATATGAATTTAGTCAATATATTATCATTCACAATGAAAATCCTACAAAAATACAACAGTAAGGTATCATTGCTTGTTGGATAGGATTAGACAATGAAAGTAAAGGCTATAAAACTTGGCACAATTAATAAAATC